AAAATAGGTCCAAATTATTGTTTTATTTTAATACTCTGTAATTAGACAATAAATAATGGCGGAGTGCAGTGATTTTACGTTATAAAAACAGACACCAAAATTTTATAAAATCATAGATTCTACGATAATCCTCTATTTGTAAAACCTTGTATTGAAAAGTGTAACATATAGCATTACAGAAAGAAAAGTATCAGTGTGGATCTATTTCCAAGATTCCACTTAACTATCCTTAATGAACGTAAAAAATATTACTATTTAGTTAATCTATTATATTTCCTTTTTATTTTTTAAGTAGGCATAGTTTGATGATCTAAAATATCACTTAAATACTAAACTACGCATGAGGTCTACTATAGTTATGAGTGAGTTTACCTATATGGAAAGTGGCATACTAAATGATTGTAACAACTAACTATTACACTCTATGGTCATTTGACAACATTACATCAATTATCATTGGAACATTTTCATGTTATCTGTTCTAGTTTGATACACCTTTAACATTTTCTAATAACTCATCTACAAAATAGGCTTATGCCAATCTTTAGTATTAATTGTAACTTACCAGAAAAGTAGTTAGCCCATAAAAATAGCACTATTCTTAATTAAATCTCATACAACATGTCGTTTTATTTTAAAATTATAATGCATGGGCTGCATTTCCAAAAATTTATATTTGAAATTCCCACAATTTTGCACAAGAATTTCTAGTCATGGAATGCGATATAACATAAATATCCTGAAGAAGTAATTTAATTTCCTAGAAAGATTTCGAGTCCCGGCTTGCGAATCTAATTTAATTACCAAATCCGGCTTTCGACAGGTCCTTGGAATTCCAACGTGATTCTTACCACATAATTCACCGATTCGTGGAAAACATTATTGGGATGTGGAGGTAGAAGAGTGTGAAAATAGCATTAATTAGTTAATTATCGCATGGATTATAATGGAGGGAATTATCCAATATAGAGACGGCTATCTTCACGTAAGATAACAATTATGTTGTCTAATCAGGTTGATGAGTAGTATAAGTAGTTGCTAAGCTACCGAATCACGGCATTATCAAAAAGCTAAAATATTGATTGTCGGAATTCAATCTCTCTGGTCTTCAAAATGGAAGTCCTGCATTCCAACCAGTAGACGAGATCCCCAACAATACTAACTACTCATGTGATAAGCATTCATAAAATAATTTGATTGGGGAAAATGTCATTTTGAAAAATCTAAAAGAACTGGTATGTACTTCAAGCCTTCCTCTAGGCTTTCGAAGTTTCGAGATAGAAATTGATTGGTTTCCTTGGCAACGATGCAACAAAAAGAAACAAAAACTAGTATTTAGTTTTTACTTTGTATTCCTTTCTTTTATACGATTTCTTTGTTTAGTCTTCTTTCCTATTTGCTACAACTTGTTTTAATAGCTCAAAAAGACTAACGTTTCTACTTACACTCCGAGGCACGGCTAACACTACTAATACGGAGTAAAACTTTAAATACACATCAATGTTCATATCTACTTAATGTTCAAATCTGTGTTATGAACCATTTATGAACATTAGCAGTGTGTGAACGAAGGTGTGTTTGTTCCCAAGATAATCTGTTGTAATTAGCCTCATGACCCTGTTATGTAGGCAATCGCCCTGAATACAGCGACATTTGCGCATGCGGGTGATAAACTGTTATGATTGTTCATAGCAGATAGTAAAGCACCTATGATTGTAGAAAAACATTTCATAAAGTTATGTTGTTCTTTACAGCTCATATAATGCCGTATAAGTTCATGACAATCCATAAAATAACTAAAATTGTTCATAACCGTTCACAAAGCTGCTAACAATAGATAAATTAAATGTGTTAAAAATATTGTTATATAGATTAATTTATATTACTTTTCATCACAGTTCTGATAGTTGCTACGATTGTTCACAACAGTTATAAAAACTGCTATGATTGTTTGTTGGGCATCTAAAATGATTTTTTTGGCATTTTAACCTATTAGGCTTATTTACACATAATTAATGGTTATATTTCTAGATGTATACTGTAGTAAAAAGTTCCGTCGAAGAAAGTTATTAAATAATATTTAAAATGTCAGTGTTTTAAAAATGAAAATTACCTCGTGAGCTGGGTTGGACCCCAGAGAAATCAGACTAGGTCCACTAATTACTTCAACCATAAACTAAACAATTCCAAGTGTTCCCGTGCGGTTTTATATGTTTAATCTAGTGAGATTGAACCAGTACATTGAAATCCTATTATGACCTGAGTATATAAGAATTTCCTTCAGATCCTACTATTAACATTCAAAATCACAGATCTGTGTCTAAATCTCCTTGAAACATTTCTACAAACCCATTAGACAAAATAAAACGAGGTGCTCGGAGAGGGTTTTGATCAAATCTTATACATTGAACGTAAAACCGTAATGAATTCATGTATGTTCAAAAGACAAAAATATTAATTACGAACAGCAACACATAATAATTTCAAATCCAAACATTAGTTTATGGTTAGTAACGGTTCAGAGTAAAGTATTTTGGCGGGGCAGATTTTTGGAGGGAACGTGGGAGGCAGACGACTACAGCTGGGACTTGAACCAATGACCTGTGTAGGCTGATGTGTCGTCTGCTAGCTGCTATACTTTAGACTACTCCCCACTACTTCTCTTATTATTGTCAATGAGGCTCGTCTGAATGAGGCGGTCGCCAGATCCACTATTTCTGGACCGTAGTGGCACGTGTGCTAGCCTATCTTGATGTAGTGAAGATGGTTGGGAAGACTTTGATAAGTAATCAGGGAAACGTGAAACTTTATTAATTGTGTCGTTTAATAAATATTACGTACAGATAATTAGGTTACTGTACTGCATTTCTTGAGTTCTCAAAACATAGTTTTCTAACCATTTAGCATCTAAAGGAAAGGATTTTAAATAAATTAAATTAGGGAAGCACGTTCTTATGAATCTACATACAAAAATAATAAACCTTACTCCAAATACTTTTCTCAAAAGAATAATCAATCTGAATCATTATCTTACCTCAATGGCTAGAGATACATTTAAAGCTAAATGATCCAATTAAATTAACTGATATGAACGAATAGGTGGCTAAATTATTAAAAAGCTCAACTATTGATCACTAGATTTCATTATTAATCACTAACAACTACTGTCTGCAGGACAATGCTGTTTCGTCAGCACGGTGAGGCCAGTGGGGCGGTGCCTCGACTGTTGAGGATGTATCCGCTGAGACATAGCTTCAGAGTGACCACATCTACCATGGATGACGCTTCCTACTACACTTATAGTCACTATCATCTTCTGTCTGCAGGACATGGTGCTGTTTCGTCAGTGAGGCCAGTGGGGCGGTGCCTCGACTGTTGAGGATGTATCCGCTGAGACATAGCTTCAGAGTGACCACATCTACCATGGATGACGCTTCCTACTACACTTATAGTCACTATCATCTTCTGTCTGCAGGACATGGTGCTGTTTCGTCAGCACAGTGAGGCCAGTGGGGCGGTGCCTCGACTGTTGAGGGTGTCTCCCCTGAGACACAGCTTTAGAGTGACCACATCTACCATGGATGACGCTTCCTACTACACTTATAGTCACTATCATCTTCTGTCTGCAGGACATGGTGCTGTTTCGTCAGCACAGTGAGGCCAGTGGGGCGGTGCCTCGACTGTTGAGGGTGTCTCCCTTGAGACACAGCTTCAGAGTGACCACATACCATGGATGACGCTGCCTACTACACTTATAGTCACTATCATCTTTTGTCTGCAGGACATGGTGTTGTTTCGTCAGTGAGGCCAGTGGGGCGGTGCCTCGACTGTTGAGGATGTGTCCGCTGAGACATAGCTTCAGAGTGACCACATCTACCATGGATGACGCTTCCTACTACACTTATAGTCACTATCATCTTCTGTCTGCAGGACAATGCTGTTTCGTCAGCACGGTGAGGCCAGTGGGGCGGTGCCTCGACTGTTGAGGATGTATCCGCTGAGACATAGCTTCAGAGTGACCACATCTACCATGGATGACGCTTCCTACTACACTTATAGTCACTATCATCTTCTGTCTGCAGGCCATGGTGCTGTTTCGTCAGTGAGGCCAGTGGGGCGGTGCCTCGACTGTTGAGGATGTGTCCGCTGAGACATAGCTTCAGAGTGACCACATCTACCATGGATGACGCTGCCTACTACACTTATAGTCACTATCATCTTTTGTCTGCAGGACATGGTGTTGTTTCGTCAGTGAGGCCAGTGGGGCGGTGCCTCGACTGTTGAGGGTGTCTCCCTTGAGACACAGCTTCAGAGTGACCACATACCATGGATGACGCTGCCTACTACACTTATAGTCACTATCATCTTTTGTCTGCAGGACATGGTGTTGTTTCGTCAGTGAGGCCAGTGGGGCGGTGCCTCGACTGTTGAGGGTGTCTCCCTTGAGACACAGCTTCAGAGTGACCACATCTACCATGGATGACGCTGCCTACTACACTTATAGTCACTATCATCTTTTGTCTGCAGGACATGGTGCTGTTTCGTCAGCACAGTGAGGCCAGTGGGGCGGTGCCTCGACTGTTGAGGGTGTCTATCCTGAGACACAGCTTCAGAGTGACCACATACCATGGATGACGCTGCCTACTATACTTATACTCGTTATCATCTTCTGTCTGCAGGACATGGTGCTGTTTCGTCAGCACAGTGAGGCCAGTGGGGCGGTGCCTCGACTGTTGAGGGTGTCTCCCCTGAGACACAGCTTCAGAGTGACCACATCTACCATGGATGTGTTGCCTACTACACTTATAGTCACTAACATCTTCTGTCTGCAGGACATGGTGCTGTTTCGTCAGCACAGTGAGGCCAGTGGGGCGGTGCCTCGACTGTTGAGGGTGTCTCCCCTGAGACACAGCTTTAGAGTGACCACATATACCATGGATGTGCTGCCTACTATACTTATACTCACTACCATCCTCTGTCTGCAGGACATGGTGCTGTTTCGTCAGCACAGTGAGGCCAGTGGGGCGGTGCCTCGACTGTTAAGGGTGTCTCCCCTGAGACACAGCTTTAGAGTGACCACATCTACCATGGATGACGCTGCCTACTCCAGTGACGCCGATTCCACCATCTCTGTTCCAGATTTTGGATCGCAAGATCTGGACGCTGATAAAAAAGGTAAGAGTTCAACAATAATTGCTTGGACAGGTTGACATCTGTTGCTACATATCTTATTTTAAAATAGAATCGTATTTCATACTCGTGAAACATCAATATTCTAACGATACAAACGTCTTCGGATAGCCAATGTAAATGGAAATATTTGCCTAAAATATAATTATAATTGGGATATTATTATTTCAACAAATAAACCATCTTTGACATACGCGGCTTCTGTTCGGCTAAGAAATAAACAGCTGTTATAGTATGATTGCAATCACTAAAGTTCCATATGGTTTCATGGAGCTTGGCCTACGACAGCAAAGGCCTTTATTTTACAGCTTAAATGCTACCCTAAAATTAGATGAGTTGCTAAGAAACACCAAATTCTCCCAGCGTGTTTACAAATTCATTATAGATTTTTTCATTTAAGAATATTTTAAAATTTGCCGTTCCTAAATGGTGCGTCAATATTCCATTCTGCCACACCTGAAATCACGCATGCCTTCTTCAAATGGACCGCTAGAGGTTGTCTGGAAGATCTATCATGATATTCGAAACTTAGACGAATTGACGGTACTCCACCTAACCCTACTGGGTGCCATCCTCGCCGCCGCCCTCCTGGGGTTGTACATCCAACATAGGATCAAGAAGAAGCTGGGAGTTGTGGTGATTAAGGTAGAAAAGACAGAGGATAAACTCCATGACAAGGAAGCCTTCCATGACTTCCTCAACTACATCCTTAGGCTAAGCCGAAATATGGATGACAACATAAACATGTCATTGTTCATGTCGGAGATTCGGAGGAAAGCCAAGATATTAAGACGCAGCAGACCAAAGGAAATAGAGGATAGATCTCCAGAGCTACTGCCTCATTTGAAGGTGGAGAGGGTTGTGAGGGACGGAACGGCTATTTTGGAAATAAACGAGAAAGAAGAAGATCTTGCAGCCGAGGGTCATTTGATTGAGGATGCCAAAGATGAAAATATTCCAAAAGAAGAAGAGACCCACGAAACTGCGAATGAAGAAGCCACTAAGAGAGGGACTCTAAAACCTAGGAGACGGTTACGGGCGATTTGATGTAATAAATTATTAGTAAATTGCGTAATACATTAATACTCAAATAGTTTTCTTTATTTATCTTTGATTATGTCAGAATTTGTAGGAGACTATTTTGAAGTTCAACCAGAGAACCTTCGTTTCCATCTTCATATTGTAGGTACTTATATCCTTAATGAATTTTCTAGTATAATTATTTTCATGAATGTGTCGTTTCCATTATTTCAGATTGTAATTAACTACCTAAACTGCTATGTTTGACAAGTTATCAACAACAAAATTCATCGACAGTATGGTTAAAATCTGCAGAGGGAAATTTGACAGGATGTCTACAGAATCCATCGAGAGTGTGAGGATACATGCTTGACGATATGTCGATATTGCAAAATTACATTTTACATCGATGTTTTTGTGAACATCTTGTCAAGCAAATGTTAAATTTATCTCATCAAATGGTTATATATTGTACACTCGATTCTCGATGGATATCTTGTAAAGCAAGATCATATTGTAAGTAACATCGTATTTCCATCTGCAGGTGTTACTTATATTATCGATGGATTTTCTTGTAGACGTCCTGTCGAGTTAAGCTGGATTTACTTATACATTATTTTAAACATACCCCTTTTTATGGAAATTTTTTAAACGGCTCCACATATAGCAATAAGTTTTTAATTAATTTTCTTGCAGACCTTATAAAAGCATTTACTGAATTTTCATATCCGAATTGCAATCAAATTCTTAAATGATTTTTTCATTGGTATTTCGACAATCATAAATGGTGTTATACACCACCCTTCAAATTTTAAACTTTTATCGAAGAGTTTTCTTGAAAATGTCTTATGAAGCATGTTTTGCATTTGTATAGACATCCCTATATTGCAATGATAATTTTGATGGATTTTCTGTTAGCTGTTGTCATAAATTAGCTAAATCATAAATTAGATAGACGTTTCGTCTATCATACCGTATTTCCATTCCTGGATTGTAATCATACTCGTAATGAATTTCCTTGAAGACATCTTGTCAAACATATGTTATGTTTAGTAACTCAAATTTTTGCATACTAACGATTAATTTCCTTGTAGGAATTTCGCAACGGCAATGCAAAATCGTAGGCGATGTATTATCCATCGTGATCTTGTAACTTAACTATCGTTGGAACTTATTATTTTGCATGGTACATAAAATTAGTTTTTTTTTTGGACGGATTTTTTTCTAGTTTAGTAGCCCTCAGTCAGTGATTGAAATCTTTCTTCTAATATATAAAATTCTCGTGTCACAGTGTTTGTCTGCAAACTCCTCCGGAACGACTTCACCGATCGTTATGAAATTTGGTGTGTAAATTCTGTAGGTATGCGAATCGAACGTAAACTATTTCCCGTTTCGAAATTCTTAAAAGGGCTCCGCCCCAGTGGCTCTGCAGTTTCCCATGTTAACCTTATGAGAAATGGAATTAATGAATCTTAACAGCTGTTTCAATTAAACAAGTTGGTTCTGTTCTATGATGTTCAATAGCATTAAAGTTACAAGGATTACCAACAGGGTGCAGCACTATTATTTCTTTTACATTAATGACAACAGCTAATTTGCAACCAAAAGGTGAGTGAGCGTAGCGAACGAACTTCAACCTGGAGGCGAGTTAGCGTAGCGAACGAGCTAACCTGAAGGCAAGTGAGCGCAGCGAACGAGCTCCAACCTAAAGGTGAGTGAGCGTAGCGAACGAGCTCTAACCCAAAGGTGAGTGAGCGTAGCGAACGAACTTCAACCTGGAGGCGAGTTAGCGTAGCGAACGAGCTAACCTGAAGGCAAGTGAGCGCAGCGAACGAGCTCCAACCTAAAGGTGAGTGAGCGTAGCGAACGAGCTCCAACCCAAAGGTGAGTGAGCGTAGCGAACGAACTTCAACCAGGACGTGATTGAGCGATGCGAACGAGATCATCTTGAAAATTAAATGTAACGGTACTTTCTTTCCATCGGTCTGTCTTAGGGGAAACCTATAACTTAGGCGATACGAAGTTCGCCGGGTCAGCTAGTAGCTTTATACAATTTATCAGTTGGGAAACTCGCTGTTCTATAGATTCACACCCCAAGGCTGTGACAGTCACTGTATAAACATGGTAACGTCTCGTCAAACACTCAAGATCTTATCATGTTCGACTAGTTTGTTTAGCCTATCACTCCTCTGAAAGAGTTTGTTTTCATTTGTCCCTAATAGTTGCACTGATAACAGTTGTTATAAAAATAAATACGGATTTCCGGAAAGTGATTTAAGTTGAAAGTCGAATTAGTTTAAACTGACTAATAAATGATTGACTTTGTGGTTTTTTTTAGTAGACCAGTTTCTGTAATTTGAGTAAATTTGAGGCTAGCTACAAATGTTGTGTCAATAATTGTTGTACAATGACAATTGTATTTTTCTTATAGCAAACGTTTACAAAAAAGTATATAATTAGATCGGTTTTTTAGAACATAATCATATTTATTAATGTTTAAATGAATGCATTATTTGATTGTTAAACCATTGATTTCCTCGTTGATTAGAGTATGTATAATTCTATTATTCATTTAAATAGAACATACATAGTTGAATTAACATATTGAAATCGAACGTAAACATCATACAAGTTATACCAACAACTCTGCCTATGTTATCATAAATTAAAATCTTAAACGAAATAGACAACTCAAATTTCTACAAAGGAGCCCCAATTTAAATACCTATAGTTTGCCTACACATTGCTAACTAATGACCACTTAACAGATAATTTCTTTGGCTTTAACAAATTATTGGTCTGAATTCCACAATGATGATAGTTTGGTGGTTTCACAATCTCTACAGCGCAGACTAGTCTTCAACTCTTCCGTCACGCAACTGTTAAAACTTGGAACGTAAACGAACCACCCAGCTTCCCAACGCAATGGCTCTACTCTGGGTTATCTTATTGCCAAGGTTATGCCACTGGGTAACGTTTACAAGCGCAGTTTGGAATGAAAGATTGTAGAATGACTAGTGAGAAAATATGGCGAGGAACTAGTATTGTTAATCGTGCATAATATTTGTATATAATCGATGATTTTACAGTATTGCCAAAAATATAAATATATTTCAACTTTTGTCTTCAATATAATTTTATTTTTGACAAAAATTGTGCACGATTCCAGCACAGACCTTAGTTTCTCTGGATCGAAATGTATATTACCCAAAATATGAGTAAAAATACATGTAGTCACACTCAACAAAAATAACAAAAAAAGATAACAACTTTTGTGGAAAATTAAGAAAACGTATGTAGTTATGAACCTACAGTTTAATATAATGATTTCAGTAAAGAAAAAGCCATGTTATAGATTGACTCACATTGTATAGAAACCACCATTAAAGGGCTTTTTCCAAAAAAGTTACAAAAAATGACAATTGTTGTATTTTTTTTACCGAGCTTGATGACATGCTTTTTTGAAATTATAAACGAACAAAGGACTTTGTGACTCTGGGGGGGGGGGGGGGGGTTCCTCACTTCTTGAAACTGAAAAACCGCATTTACTTTCCATCAACAACAATAATAAAATCTAATTTTAATTTACTAGAATACACATTTCCTAGACATAACCTTCTACAGTAGGCCTACCTTCTTTTGAGTGTGACGGTATTTATATTCTATCAACCTTTTTTGACGGATTTCGTAAATGTATCATGTCCATAACAAGCACTGCTCGAAGCTAGTTTTAAAGAGATTACTCAATGGACTCTCACACGACCTTCAACCTCTGTGGATCACGTGATTGGCCCGAGGACCGACATTGCGTCACGGGAATACAAGAGAAAAGTAGGGAACTCACGGAAACGTCCAGGATCTTAGGAAGTTGTGTAGAGCACGGCATGGTCCCGTATTACATAACAATATAATGATGGGCTCGGGATTTAAATATTATTTGTTCATACAATGTTTTTTATTCCAAT